AGCGTGCACGTGTGTCAAACTTGTGCAAGGGAGTAAGATTGGTAGCATAACATAAACACCCAAAAACCCGGAGATGAGAATATTCGGGTGATGTGCCATTCAAGAGTTCATAGGGAGATTTATATGAAAGTAAGGGTGTAGGAAGACGATTTATTAGATAACAAGCGGTTTGTATGCTTTCCCCCCAAAACTTTAAAGGTAAATTGGCTTGAAAGCGTAATGCACGGCCAACATTCAAAAGATGCTGATGTTTGCACTTAACCACCCTGTTTTGTTGAGAAGTGTGAGCACAAGTATGTTGAAAAATGGTGCCATGAGCATCTAAAAATGCACGCATCGATACAAATTCACCCCCATTGTCGGCACGTAGAGCTTTAATTTCATGATTAAATTGTGTTTTGACCCAAGAAAAAAAATGATTTCAACAATGTTTGTATATCAGATTTAAAACGCATGAGATGAAACTATGTGAAGCGAGTAAAATCATCTACAATAGTTAGGAAATAATGTGCTCCAATGTGTGTATGAATTTTGTGTGGTCCCCAAATATAACAATGAATCAAATCAAGAGGTGCAACCGATTTTATGGAATTTGAAACAAAAGATAAGCGAGTTTGCTTTGCTAAAGGACAAACCTCACAAACATGCGTAATTAGAATCAAATATGATTTCTGGGATGGTTTGGGATAAAGAGTGAAGAGGGGCTGATGATGGGTGTCCAAGACGTTGGTGCCAAAGTCCCGAGGTGCGGTTAATATGATTGACTAGGTGAGGATTTTGGCTTGGTGTGAGGTAGTAAAGCCCACTAAAATGCTTGTCCAGGCTAATCGTCATCTTCATATCCATGTCCTGCACAACACAAAAATCCGGATAACATATCACGATACATTTCAACCCCCGAGTTAATTTGCTCATAGACAATAAGTTCACACAAAATTTTGGCACATGTAAAACTCCATCAAGAGATATCGCTGATGACAATTTAATAGACCCAAAGCTTTCAATTGCAGCTTGTCCTCCATTTTGTAAACCAACAAAATCATGTTGTGTTGTAGTTTTATTATGACTGGGTGATAGATGAGAAATGTGATCTGTTGCCCCGCTATCCACAATCCAATATAATGTTGAATGCAGATCATGTTGTATCTGGGAGTTTAGACAAAACCGATGAATTGCCGGCAACATTGGCTTAAGGAGCAGTTGGCTGCCCAGTCCTCTTGTTGTTCATAATGGAGATGATTTGTTGATATTGGGTATCAGAAAGTGATCTACACCAAGTAGAACGATTGTCTCCATCGGAGACGAGAATGTGAATAAAAAATGCACTGGAGGCTTTTGGCCTGTCTCTATCCGGGCTTTGGTCGTTACCCATGGCTGGAATCAACCACACAATAAAATAGAAGAGGGAATATAGCAGCGGAAGAGTGAAGGCAGAGCAGGGCAAGGATTAATCCTGCTCTGATACCATATTAAATTTTCTGATTTGAATTGTAATACATTTCATTGCATAGAAGGGCTTATGGGAAGGCTTTCTAATACACAATACAAAGAAAGCTTTACACCCTTGTAACCGGATGCAACAGCACACATGCAGCAATAATACAAAGTAAATGACCTCCCTGCTGTCCAGGAGTCAGCAATCACATGCAACATTCCTTTCCAGAGTGCACACCCTTGTTGTCTTTACTTTATGGCAATGATGACTATAGTTGTAATGATGGCAGGTTACACTTTAACGGGTGCAGCCATGTTTGCTCCAGTGGTGAATCCGTACGATTCAATCATGAACAGGGAAGAGAGATGCATGACCTGGGGGAAGTGGAAGCAAAGCAGAATTTTTTTGTAATTTTTGGCAAGGAGGTTTCCTAGATTTCTTTCTTACTTCTATCACAGAAGCTTCTTGTCTGGAAAGCACGGACAAATCGATCAATGGCTGTCATTGTCACTGGGAAAGTGGGTGAGGATCATTATCAACATTTTGTTTACAGATTGAAATATTTACAAATCTTACAACTAAATTTTGATTATTACAACAAATGCATATGTTCCTTGTATAAGCTGGAGACTGATCTGGTCTTGGAGGTCTTCTCTTCTAACAATGCAGAAAGTGTTTCATGGTTCATCCCTCACTTGTCACGGTTTCCATATCATTCAGCTCCCATTTGTTTGTGTTAAATGATTACCACAATGACTATTGTTTTACCTGTATGAGTTTTCATTTTGTTCTCCAGGATAAAGCTCTGATGGAGGACCCAATCTACGAAGAATTCTGGCAAAGGGATGCAGAAGAATCAATTAGGCAGAGAATCTCTAAACCCTTCGTGGAGGAAGCTGTTTTGCAAGTGTCAAATAGGGGTTTCAGCCTTGCATGCCTCAAATTGCAGAAGAAAGAACAAGGGAAAGGCGTGCTCAATTGGATTAAGTCCATGCTCAGCTTAGCTCAGGAAGAATACATTGGCATCTTTGGCCCAATACACATATGGCAGGTCAGAAGCATCTCCGTCGTTTACATGTTTGTTTGAGCTATCGATACTTTTACTGCTGAGATACTTGAAATCTTTTGATAGAAGACGAGGTAATATGTTGAGTAGACTCGTCAATAACAATGAGATCAGTCATTTGACAGGATTGTTCTAATTGAGTTGCTCTTCCTCATGCTAACATAAGAAAGGTTTGAATTACTACTTGTCCTAAGTTCGTCGAGGGAAGATTTCTGCTACGAGAATGCGAAATTCGTCTCAGGTTCTGAAAGTAATGTATGGCGTAACATACTCGTAGACAGATTTCTGTTGATAGCTGTTTCCTTGTAACCACAACGAATCTCTCGCCATACAATGGCTTCATTCAAACTATACAGAGCGTTTAGTATTTTTTTTCATCGGAGGTATTAATTTCCTATTGAATTTTGTATTAATCCAGACCATTCTCCTCCAATGTTTGACAAGGGATGGACGATAAGGTGGTCCCAGCATCGATGACTGATTTCGTTCACCGGATTTTACAAGGAGCTGAGGTAGATAATGTTGGAGAACAATTTAGAAACAATAAAATAACAAAAATACAGAACCGAAATATTTGTACTTTATTATTCAAAAATACTTGTAACACAGAATGCAATTATGTTATAGTAACAAAAAATTAAAATGATACTAACTTGAATGAATTGAAGGTAGAGGCTAGCGCAAACGCTATGCCCTTCAATAGTCTTTCCGTCCCACTCGTGTGCTTGTAGTTCTACAACGTCTGCTCGTCCAGGATACAACTACCTAATTCTACAACCCACATTGGATTATAGAACTCTAGTGAATTGCTTTGTGTGTTTACTCTCTAGAAATTTTGTATGGAAGACAAGGGGGAAGAAAAAGATGATTTTTGATGGAACTGAGGACTCCAGTTATATAGGCTCTTTCATACCTCTTCAAAGATCTTTTGGATGTATCTGAAGCTATACAACTCTTTCTAAAGAGATACAACTATTTCTAAAGAGTTGTGTCTATTAATCAAAACGTTTTTAATTAATTTAATTAAAAACTTAATTAATATTATAGTATAATCATCAAGCCTAATCCACACAACCATAAGACTCAAGCCTTCAATCCATTTCCAAATAGTCCAAGTTCTAATTACTAAGAAAAAGGAATAAGTCTATATAAAGGCTAGTGAAAAAATACTGTTGACCAATGTGGGACAAGAGGGTCTCAAACTCCTACAGATAAGCTTCCATTCGAGGGCCATTTCACCTATATTTACTTTTGTGACGAATGCCATACACAGATATTCACTACACTCTTTGGAATACCACAAGGGCCGCTGAACTTCACAGCAGAAGTGGATGAAACAGCTCTTGAAGGTAATACTGAAGAGCAGGACGAAGAGGTAATGCTTGGTGATTCTGTTCCGGCACTACCCAAGGCATGTTTGCTCTAGTTTACTTCAGAGAGGTACAATGTATATACCATAGGGTTACTACGTTACTCGTAGAGCTGAAAAAAAACAGAAAGGATAAAGAGAAAAGAAAGAAAAGTTAAAAGCATCGTGTTAATTCTCGTGCTCAGAGTTTTGGGATGTTAATAGGGGGTTTCCAGCGAAGTATGTCTTTGGGAGGAACTGTTGGTCAAGAACAAAAATATACAAAGAAATCATATCGTTCTGAATTTCAATCGGGTGCTCAAATTTTCGTTCATTCAGTGCCTCCAAATGTTTGATTGTCTTCTTTTTCTATCATTTCTCCCACCCGCTCTCACTTCTTGAGCTAACCCTAACCTCTCGGGTAATGCACGAATCCTTTCGTTATTTCCTGATTAATATGTATGTTGCTTGTGGCTTGTTGGCGCTTGCTCTCAATGTGTTCAATGAAATCCCGCAGGGGAATTCTGTCACTGGGAATGTCACGATACATGGTTTGGCAAATGGGGGCTTAAATTGGCTTGGTCTCTGCTTGACCAGATGCCGAAGCCTACTGTTGTGTCCTGTACTGCTATTATTGATGCGTACTCGCGCATGAATCAGCCCCAGAAGGCTGTTGCTTTGTTTCCTAAAATGGTTGTTGAAGATCTTATTGAACCTACTCGGATTACATTTCTAGCCATATTTCCGGCTGTTTCGGTTCTTGGGGCTCGTAAGATTTGCCAATCTCTTCTTCTCCAACAGATTTCATCATCTTAAAAGAGTAACATAAAAGTTGCTCTATCGCTTGATATATTCAATTAATAACACATATCATACGTCACTAGGCGATGCATGAATGAATGGCTACCTGAACTGGACTCAGCAGTGGAACAATACTCCAACGTAGCATTCAAGGGAAGGAATCACCGAAACTAGTCAAAACTGAAGAGATACGGAATCGATTTCATCACGATCTTTCTATAGAGGCCAACAAAGTGGGATCTACATTATCTTTAGACAATAAATTAACGATCAACTTCGTAGTTGATGCATCTGTAGAAAAACCCCTCTCCACCATTTATTCAATAAGCCTCACTGCCATTGATGACTCGTTATTTGTTGTATGTGCAACCATCTGAAGAACAACCTTTCTCTTCCATTTCCCTTATATTCAACTTTTTCAGCTCTGGACAAACCTTCAATAAGAATAGTGCAAGTTACAATATCAAAATCCAACTTCTTTCCCTCCATCTCTTCCAAAAATTCAACCACCTTGGGAAATTGTTGGTTTTTACGAAGGCCATACAGCAAAATAGAATACGTTTGAATATTTGGTAGTTGGCCTAAAGCTTGCATTTAAGAGAACAAGTTACGTGCATCTTGTATTCTTCCCATCTTGCAAAACCCATCAATAAGAGTGTTATAAGTAATAGTATTTGGAACCACTCCCCTTTGAGACACTTCCAGAAAAAGCATTCGGGCATCATCTATCCTTTTACGCTTACAAAACCCATTTGCTAAGCATTACTTCGAAAACCTTTTTTGCCTTGCCAATTTCTCCTTGCAAAAAATAACCATCTATAAGTGAATTGTACATAATTGTATCAGGTGCAATATCCCTTTGCGTCATCATTTCAACCACGCTCCTTGCTTCTAGACCATCCCTCTTTACAAAATGTATAACCAAAATATTGAAGGTGCACACATTTGGAAAGATGTAACATCCCACATTGCCCAGGGGAGTGGATCCTATAAGCCTTATATGTATATTCTTATCTCTACCTAGCACGAGGCCTTTTGGGAGCTCACTGGCTTCGGGTTCTGTTGGAACTCTGAAGTTAAGCGAGTAGCGTGCGAGAGCAATCCCAGGATAGGTGAGCCACTAGGAAGTTCTCGTGTGAGTTCCCAAAAATAAAACCGTGAGGGCGTGGTCGGGGCCCAACACAGACAATATCGTGCTATGGTGGAGTCGAGCCTGGGATGCCGTGGGGGCCCGGGATGGGTGACCCACTAGGAAGTTCTCGTGTGAGTTCCCAAAAATAAAACAGTGAGGGCATGGTCGGGGCCCAAAGCGGACAATATCGTGCTACGGTGGAGTCGAGCCCGGGATGTCGTAGGGGCCCGAGCCGGGAGTTGACAATTTGGAATCAGAGCCTAACCCTGGCTGCGGTGTGCCGACAAGGACGTCGGGCCCCTAAGGGGGGTGGATTGTAAGATCCCACATCGCCTAGGGGAGTGATCCTTATATGTACATTCCCATCTCTATCTAGCACGAGGCCTCTTGGGAGCTCACTTGCTTCGGGTTCCGTAAGAACTCTAAAGTTAAGCGAGTAGCGCGCGAGAGCAATCCTATGATGGGTGACCCACTGAGAATGTCTCGTGTGAGTTCCCAGAAACAAAACCGTGAGGGCGTGGTCGGGGCCCAAAGAGGACAATATCGTGCTACGGTGGTGAAGCGGGCCCTGGATGTGATGGGGGCCCCGGCCGGGATGTGACAATTTGGTATCAGAGCCAATCTCTGGCCGGATATGTGGCGACGAGGACATTGGACCCCTAAAGGGGGTGGATTATAGCATCCCACATTGCTCATGGGAGTGGATCCTGTAAGCCTTATATGTATATTCTCATCATTACCTAGCACGAGGCCTTTTGGGAGCTCACTGGCTTCGGGTTCTGTTGGAGCTCTGAAGTTAAGCGAGTAGCGCGCGAGAGCAATTCTAGGATAACGAAAAAAAAAAAATTCCACCCATAACATCTATGTTAGTTTTTTTGTCTGAATGTATTCAGAACAACCCGTTTTCTAGACAATCCCTATAGAAAAGAGGGGGATTATATTATAACAACCTTTCTAGTTACTTCGTTCTCTATTTCTATGACAAAACTGTGAGGGCGTGGTTGGGGCCCAAAGCGGACAATATCGTGCTACGGTGGTGGAGCGGGCTCAAGATGTGATGGGGGCCTGGGCTGGGATGTGACAATTTCGTATCAGAGCCAAGGACATCAGGCCCCTAAGGGGGATGGATTATAGCATCCCACATTGCCCATGGGAGTGGATCCTGTAAGCCTTATATGTATATTCTCATCTCTACCTAGCACGAGGCCTTTTGGGAGCTCGCTGGCTTTGGGATCTGTCCAAACTCCGAAGTTAAGCAAGTAGCATGCGAGAGTAATCCCAGGATGGGTGACCCACTGGGAAGTTCTCGTGTAAGTTCCCAAAAACAAAATCGTGAGGGCGTGGTCGGGGCCCAAACCGGACAATATCGTGCTACAATGGAGTCGAGCCTGGAATGTGGTGAAGGCCCGGGCTGGGATGTGACAAAAGATATGTTTACTCACCATTTCATTCAATAATCTTGTAGCTTCTTTCCAATTCCCTACTTTGCAAAATCCATGAATGAAAGAGGTATAGGTAATGACGTTAGGAGCGATGCCCTTACTTGTCATTTCTGAGAAGAGGTTTAGTGCATCAACAACTAGAGTATCCTTGCAAAGACTGTGAATGATCGTGTTATAGACAACTATGTCAGGCCTGTAATCGCTTTCTTCCATCTTCTTAAGCAACTGGATAGGTCCAGTGTTGTTACCTTTCAAGCAATAGCCATTTGCTAGTACGTTGAAAGTAACCACATCCGGCTTGCAAATACCTCCCTCCATCATTTCATTGAAAAGTGCAGCTGCGTCAACCTCTTTATGCTCACGAATGAAGTCGTTGATTAGAGTGTTGAAGGTCGTGACAATTGGTTCAAAACCCAATCTGAAGAATTTTCCCAAGATAGAAAAGCCAAACCCCATTTTCCTCAAATGACAAAAGCAATTCATGATAATGTTTAGAGTATAAACATTAGGACGAATTCTGGACACAACCATTTGGTTATTCAAGGAGATGACTGCCGAATAATGTTTCAACTCGGCAAGTTGAGTCAAGATTTGGTTGAAAAGGACAACGGAAGGCAGAGGACGCCTTTGAAGCATTTCTTCAAAAACACACTGCGAGCATCCTCAACATTACAATGTTCACAGGCTGGTGTTGTTGGGTGTTTCTAGATTCGGGAGATTTAGAAGTTCGAGAGTGAAACAAAGCCAAGTAATTGTTGAAGAAAACAACAACAGATGAAAATTGAAGATGACGAGGCAGCATATCTCTGAGTTTGAGTCTGCTACTGCTGCCATAACCAACCTTCAAAGAAAGAGAAGAAGAAGCAACAGCAGCTGTTGTTGCCCGCATCATCTTCAGTGAGTCAGCGAATCAGTGCGCAAATCTTCTTTCCGAAAAACTTTTGCTGAGGATGACTTATGGAGGGAAGACTCTGCTTCAACCTGTTAGCATGATTTTACTATTTTTGGTGAAACCTGACTCATTCACTATTCTAAAAGGCTTCCAAAAAACGAATTAGTATTACGATCAAATGATATTCTTTTTACTTGTATGTGACAAATTTTAGATTCGATACTCGCTTTGAACCATATTATTATTAGCTCAGGTTAAGTCCATCATCTTCCCTTAATGTAAATAATATCATTTGTTCATAAAAATAAAAAAAAAAAAAAAAACTTAATAAAAACTAACTTATGCCCACATAATGTGTGTAGAATGGAAGGAAGGGAGACGTGGGAAAGCAGAGAGAAGAGAGAAAGGTTTTTTTATTTTTTATTTTTAATATTACATTACGTTTGGATGAAGAAAATAAATTTGAAATTTAGATAAAAATTAAAATTTATAAATTGACATGCACTAATTTTCTTGTTGGGATTCATAAACATAGAAATTTAGAATTTCCGTGTGGAAGAAAAACTTAGAATTGGGGTAAAGGTTATAATTTAAAAATTGACATGCACTAATTCCCTCATTTGGATTCATAAACATAGAAATTTAGAATTTTCGCCTAGAAGAAAAACTTGGAATTTGGGACCTCCAATTCCCAAGTTTAAATTCCATATAAATAAGTGTCATTTTCCAATTTCCATGATTGAGAGTTTAAAAATAACAAATTCCGTATCTAGTTTCCTTGTTCTTTTAGGTTAACTAAACAAGAAAATTTACAAATTTAGAAAATAAAATCCTATCATATCTTTATTCAAACATAATGTTAACGATATGTTAGAATCTGTGGGTGAAACTTCAAAAAACAAAATTGTTATTCTTACCACATATTTGTACTATCTCTCTAACAAAGGAGAAATACTTGTGTGGGACTCAGCTTATCACTAGACTTCGCTGAGTGGCACTACAACCCACTCAAAACTCGCCACGTGGCAAATTTTAAATATAATCTTTTTCCATTCTTTTATATTTAAAATTTTCATAATTATGTTTTCTACTAATTCTAATGTTTCCTTTTTTTTTTTCCTTCTTTCCCCCTATTTTGTTTTCTTCCCAAATTTCCCTCTAGTTTGTTTTGCCCTAGGTCTTTAGTACTCTCTTCCACTCCTTTCTCTTCCAGTTTTGTTTCTTGCTGTCCTTAAAAATAAAAAATAAAAAATAAAAAAATAACACCATGGAAAGCAACGAAGAATCTATAAGTTTCTTTTCATTCTTTATACAATAGTTGCTTTGATCATGTGAACTTGACATGAATAACCCACATATATAGGCGTATCAGGGTTTTTTTTTCTATTTAATTATATTTGATAGAGATGTACTTTCTTGAAAATAGAAAGCTACTATGATCCAAATAAAATGAAAGATAACAAATAGGTTATGAAAAAATTAATTTGATAATCTGGAGTGTGCACTTTGGTATTTATAGAGAGGAGAGAAACAATGGGGGAAAATAAATGTTTGTATTTGGAGAGAGGAGGGGGAAAGAAAGCAAAGAAATTTTTTGAATAAAAAAGTGCAGAATTTCATAAAAAGCAAGAACCACAACTGGGAGAGAGAAAGAAGTGGGAGAGATGGTGAAGAGAATGACAAAAAAAAGTGGAGGGAAGTTTGGGAAGAAATAAAAGGCGGGGGAAAGTAGGAAAAAAAGGAGAAAGAAGAAAAAAAATGGAAACATTAGATTGATATATATATATATATAATATATTAATTAGTGAAAAATAATTATGAGAATTTTAAATATAAAAAAATGATAAGAGATTATATTTAAGAATTGCCACGTGGAGAGTTTTGAGTGGATTGTAGTGCTACTCAGCGAAGTCCAGCGGCAAGTCAAGCCCCAAATAAGTTTTTCTCCTAACAGAGATAAGACCCACATGTGCTGGTTGCCCCACCGCTATTGGAGAAATGATTCAAATGTGCAAATTGGTGGTAAGTGTAACATTACTTTTTAAAATTTGTGTGAAATTATATTGGGACCCATATCTTTTATTTCTGTTTAGTTTTGATTAGTAGGTTAGAATGTTAATTTTATAAAATTTTAGTTGATAGTCAGAGTTCTATTGATATGTAGTTTAACTAATTGGACATTAAAGCCCTTCAAACAAAAAATTAAACTCATGAAATTGAAAAACGTTGTATAACCACTTAGTACTACGGTTTAACAGTATTTCTCTTCACTTGTAAGTGAGAAGTCTCAGGTTCGATTCTCGTCAATAGCATACTTGAATCACATTATTGCTAGCACATTGTGAGGCTTAGCTCACTCCCCACCAGTTAAGTGTACATAATATCGTTTATTCAAAAAACAAAAAGAAAAAAAGTTTTATAATGTAAGAGTTGTACAAAAAAGAAAGGGTAAATTACATTGTACCCCCTCAGGTTTCAATGCAATTACAACCTTATACAACATCTTTAAAACATTTCAATCTCATATAGTTAGTATTATTATTTTTTTTCAATTTCATATAATCGTTAAAAAATCTGTTAAGTTAACCGTTAAGTGATGATATGGCAAATATGGGTCCTCATTTGTGCTGATATGGCTTTCACATTTGTGCCACATGGCTAAACACTTAATAAAAGATTTAAAATATTAAAATAATTAATTAAAGCAAAGTAAAAAAAATAATAAATAAAATAAATAAAAAAACCCCAAAATCCCCTTTGTTTTCCCCGCCCGAGCCCACCCTCTTCTCCCACTCCCAGCATCCACCCCTTTCTCCATCCCCATCCCCATCACCCACCCCATATTTGACTGAGCATAGTCCTAGTCTCCGCCATCTACACTCTGATCAAGCCATTCCCTTCCATGCCCGGCCCCTTCATTGCCGCTTCGTTCTCAACCCCTTCTACACCGTCTATTACACCGCCAAGATCTGGATCTGCCCTTTCTGCTTCACCCGTAACCACTTTCTTCCCCACTACACCTCCATCTCCAACGAGAACCTCCCTGTCGAGCTTTTCCCCTAGTACACCACCATTGAGTATGACTCGTCCATTGAAAAACCCACCTCGCATCCGATCTTTATTTTTGTCATCAACATCTGCATGATCAAGAAGCTCTCGTTTCTCAAGTCTACTCTGTCTTAGGCTCTCGGCCTCCATCTCTCATATTTGGAGAGGAGGGAGTAGGCGAATGATTTTGGGGCGGAGGGGGGGGAGGGGGAAGGGGTGATGGGGGATTTTTGGGATCAGGTTGCTTAGAAGAAGAAGAAGAAGAAGAAGAAAGTGGATTAAACCCCAATGACTCACATCTGCAAGAAGAAGAAGAAGAAGAAGAAGAGGGAGGAAGAAAGAAAGAAAAAAAACCCCAAAATCCCACTCGAGCCACCCCTCCCAAAAATCCCCCATCACCCACCCCTGAAAATCCCATCTACCATAAAACCAGTTCAAAAATCATCTCAAACTCAAAGTATTAGTATTTTCAAAACTCATCTAAACTGAAAATCACCAGATTGCGGAGGGAGGAGGGTCACGTAGGGAGAGGGGGGGACGGGAGGAAGGTCACGGCCGAGGGGGGAAGGACAGAAGGAATAGGGGGAGGGTCTAGCAAGGAGGCCAACGGAGGAGGGTCCTGGCGGGGGGTGGTTGGTTTTTTTTTTTTTTTTTTTTTTTTTTTTTTTTTTACCTTTTCTTCCTCCTTCCTTTTCCTTTTCTTCTTCCTACTGCAGATGCAGGTCGCTTAATTTTTTTTTCTCCTTCTTCCTCCCTCTTCTTCTTCTTGCAGATGTGGGTCACTGGGGGGGGGGGAGGGATAGTTTGAATTTTCTTTTTTCTTTTTTCTTCCTCCCTCCCTCTTCTTCTTGCAGATGTAGGTCACATAGTTTCAATTTTTTTTTTTTTTTTTTTTTGTAAAAATTCAGCTTTTTTAAAAAAAATTTAAAAATTATTATTTTTGCCATGTGGCAGACAGTTGGCAGCTGATGCGAGAATTATACGCACACAAATTAAACCCTCTTTTTGTCAATTGTAGTATAAGTATAAGTAGGGATCGTTCTGGACCGGGGATTAGGAGGGATTGTTAATCACTTGGATTTGACTCAAAAACGTAAAAACAAGTTTAAAACGCTATACTAGACTCAAAGAATGCAAAACTTAAAATAAGATAGATTAAGACTAAGACTTAAACGAAATATAGGGGGGGGGATTTAGGTTTGGACGAGATTAAACTAAAATGGATAGATTGCAAAGAAAACAAATTGTAAATACGGATTTGACGGAAATGAATGGATGGGAAGCTAGCTAAGGGGTTCATCTCCACACATGTTATACTTGCATACAAAATGATTTCTTAATTGCTTTTCAATAAACCATGAATTCTCAACACCCCGGGTTAATTAGGTCCGCTTAAATTAACCGTCAAGTTTTCCTTAAGTTAATGAATTGGATGATTGCATACAACAACCCAAAGCATTCCTCACAAGTTCCCTACATGAATTGCATAATAGAGATACAAGCAAGAATCATTAAG